GGAATAACCCCTGGGCATCGCCAGGTGTGACCCCAAAAAGGCAGGAGGGGGGACGACTCTGATAGGGGCCAAGTGAGAGTACAGCAGGTAAGGCACTTGCCGTGCATATGGCTGACCTGGGTTCAGCTGACCTGGGTTCAGTCCCTGGCATTCAGTATGGTTTCCTGAGCGCCACCAGGAGTAATTCCTGAATGCAGAGCCAGGAGGAACCCCTGAGTATCAGCAGTTGTCATCCCAGTCCTCCCACACATAACCTACCCCATGCCAAAAAAAAAAAAATCACTAACAAAGAACTATCATCGAATAAGATTGCTTTAAAATTTTAGCACCTCAGTTTTTTCATGTTTCAAAAGTGGGGCATTGATCCAAAAAGGCACCTGTGGGTTATTTTGAGGATAATTTAGAGAATAAATATATATGTGATATCTGTTGAAATGGTGAATTCATATGATCACTTAATAAATAATATGTGTTACTTTCAGTCATTAATTCTAGCTTCTGACAGTTATTCCTATTGCTTTGTAGCAAACATTTTGACTGACTGTGTAAAGGTTCCCACTTAGACTTTCCTGAGCTTTCCCTCCTTTGCTGTAAGACCATCCTCCATTCAGTCCCTCCAGATGTAACCAGTGCCAACTTTGAAGGCAGATGCTATCTACCAATACTTTTTTCATACAGATACACTGACTTGGTGTTCATTTTTCTTGATGAATTTAGTTTTAATGTAGTTTAATGAATTTAAATTTTAATGTAGTTCCTTCCACCTCCTCGTTAAGAAATTGGCAGGTAATTTTATCTCATGAAACGGCTTTTATTGACTTCTCTTGAGTTTGCCAAATGTGTTATTTAATATTATTGTTAAATGTACATTCAGAGACCTGCACTTTGCTACTCTTGTTAGCATTCATCTGTGATAAGTTCCTTATCTTCCAGATCTGTTGTAGATCAAGAAAAAATGTTTGGGGGCTGGAGCGATAGCACAGCAGGTAGGGCATTTGCCTTGCACATGGTCGACCGGAGTTCGAGTCCCAGAATGTGTTGATACCTAAAGTATTAGATTATTTTAAGACAAGATTATTGTTAAAGTGTCGGTTACTGTGGTTTGGCAGTGATTGGTTGACTCTAAAGAGCAGCAACTCCTAGATGAATAGAAAACTGAATTAAGAATTTCTGGATATCAAAGTTTTATTGGATATCAACCTATAAAGTCGGTATATATTTTATATCTGGTGGGGGTTGTGTGCTCCCAAGTGCTTAGGAAGCCTGATCCCCACTGTCATTGCTGGCCAAAGAGGCTGGCGGTTCATTGGCTTCTTCGTTCTTCAGTGCTGGGTGTACCTGGGCAACCTATGGGAGGGAGGGTATGTGGGGGTTTGGGCTGCACCCCATGATGCTCGAGGAACATTGTGTAGATTGACCAGGTCAGGTGTATGGCATGTATTCACTCTCAGCCTCTGGTAATTGTAATCATTAGTCTGGTTGTTGTCATCACATTAGTCCTCAGTTTTATTTTATGAAAAAATAGGAGATTCATTCTGTTGTATCATTTTCCCGTGGTGTAGTTTTTTGAAATTTTTTATTTGTAAGATCTAATAAAAAGTTTTTCTGCTTTGGAGATTGGAACAGAGGGCAAAATTAATGTTTCAACGATTTTGTAATTTTTTATTTACACATAATTTTATTCTGATTTTATGGAATCTTTTCTGTGTATTTTTCCAAGCTGTAAAGAAGGAAAAGATTTTCCTATATTTTCTTGAGTCCTTGGCTTAGATGAAAATTAAGCTTCCTTTTGATAATTTTGCCTTTACAAGTTTAAATTCTTTTTAGCATGACTTTTGTCTTTGGAGAAAAGGGTGTTTCTTTTCTCTTGTCATAGGGCAGGCACCTGTCCCATGATGGGTTTATGACCTGATTCCCTTTGAGGTCATCAAAGAGAAGCTCATCTTTGAGTGCCCTTCCTCCTGCTGCTTTCTCAGATTCCTTCAGCTCAAAACATTTAATGCATGAAGCCATTGTAGTTTGGGTAGTGTGTCCTGAACTCCATGCAATTCCTTAAGTTGTGTGATGTAATGAGAAAGCTCCGAGACATGCTTCATTCCATGTTCTATGTTCATGAAGTACTGACCTAATGGACTTAAGAAATTTTTCTTCCATTTCATCTTTACCTCCAATTTATATCATTTTCCCCCCCAATAGGGGTCGTTTTCCAGTATCTTTAGTGATAAAATTGTCAGTTTAATAATAGCTAGTCAAAAGGGTAGTTGTGAGAATTGTAAATCATATGATTTACAATTTACATGTGATCAAGATGCTACCCAATGAGCATTTATTGAAAAGGTTTCGCAGAACTCCCCTAAATAGATGTCTTGTTTAAGTTCCCAGTTCAGAGGCCTGACAGGCTGAGAGGATTCTTGCTATTCAGTCAGTTGTGCCCAGGAGACGAGAGGTCTCGCCAGCGCTCCATCCTGCCTCTCGGTTCCTAGAACTGACCAAGGAATCCTGGCTCTCAAATTTAGCCCAGCAATATCTAGCCTATGCATCTGCCACCCAGGTTTCTAGAATTAACCCCACTATTCCCTTCCCAGGATAAGCTTAAATTGTTTTAATATAATTTATTTTCTTTACCTGAAAGACTCAGAACATTTTATGTTATCCAAATTAGTTTATATATTATCTTTTTCATGGGATTGGCTCCAAACATTTTATATATAATGTACTTCCTCCCCAGAATAGGCCAACACGCCTCCTGCTTGCACCCCTCCCAGGACTAACTAATCTCTGAAAGCAGAAGCTTCCGCCTCAAGCAGCCCAGAACTATACCAGCTTCCCCTAGGATTGCTAGATGAAAATCTTTTTTGGGGGAGGCTTCCACTGTTCACTCTAAACAGTGAACTATTCTCTTCTATATAATTGCTTAGCTTTTGCCTAAAATTCTTTTATACCCTGCCACTCAGATTCAGATGGGGGGTTTAGCAGTTCAAAACCCTTCATTTATGATTTGTTATTGTCCTAGGAAGTGCTGTATTTGTAAAGACATTTTATATGGAAAATGTTTACATTAATTTCTGAAATAGTTATTTTGAGGTGAAATAAAGTTGCCCCATTATCAAGATAATATATGATGCATTATATTTTATTACTTACATTTTAAGTTTATTGCTAATGTGTTAGCAATATTGCTAATGTATTAGTAATATTAATTAAGATTAGAAAATTTAAGCAGTTAGAATTACATACTGCCTAAGCAGTATGTAATGTAATCCTATTCTTAAAATTTTATACACAGGAAAAATTCATTTCTTGATGATTCAGACTAATTTCAGTGCCTCTTTTGCTTTTCCCGACTTTTCTTGCTAAATACCAATGTCAATAATTCGTAAACAAGTTTATGTCATTTTATCACCCACTTCAATGCAGTATATTGAAGTAATATATTGGTAAAGATCTATATATTTTTTTAAAATTTTTATTAGTGAAACACCATGAGGTACAGTTGTAGATTTACAAATTTTTGTGCTTGGGTTTCGATTATACAATGATCAAACACCCATCCCTCCACCAGTGCCCATTTTCCACCACCATGGATAATATCCCCCACCCCCACCCCCATCCCCCCATCCCCCCCTGCCTCTGTGGCAGGGCAATCCCCTGTGTTCTCTCTCTCCTTTTGGGTGTTGTGGTCTGCAAAAGAGGCATTGAGTGGCAAACATGTTCAGTCCATAGTCTACTTTCAACATGCATCTCCCCTCCTGGGAGGATCCTCCAAACACCCTTTATTTGGTGCTCCCTTCTCTATCTCAGCCGCCCTTTCCCCCAGAATGCCCGGCTGGCCTCTAAGCCCAGATCTATATTTTTTAGGTCCAGATTTTTTAATTAAAAAGAGTACCACAGGGGACAATAACAACATTGTGTTTACAATTTGAAATTGCTCACTCTATTGCTAATTTTTAGTAAGGAATAAGGTTGAAGTCCCTAATGTATATTCAAAACTATGTTTTTTGTGTATTATTATTCTATTACTCAACAATATCTATTTCAACTTGCTTTTCCTACTTAGTAGTTATCTGTTGCTGGGGCTTATAGTATTTGTTTATTCTTAATATTTCAAAATTTCAGATTTTGTTTTAAAAGATACACTTATTTTTTTAATTAATGATAATTTTGTGTGTGTATTAGGAAAACTCAAATTAACTGCATTTTGCGAAAATAGGTTCCTGAGATTTCCTTACAACAATACTTTTGAAACACAGATAAAATTGCTTCCTGTCTCTCAGTTTCCTGTATCCATGGCAACCTCTGTTTTACACACTGACTGTGGAGGAACCAATGTGAAGAGCGGTGTTTCCTGAGCAAACTGTGACTTTAAAAAAAAAGGTGGATGGGTGGAGGTCAACAGTGCCACAGAAAGAGATGGAGTTTAGAAATGTCGCTCTGCAGATTTAGAAAGAAAACCTTTACTTGAATCAGCCGAGTGTTAATAATTTGAATTTCCTGTTCTTGGTAAGATAATTTCAATATGAACTTTCAGCTAAAACAAAAAATAAGTTGGTTTTATGAAAAACTTTAGAGAGTTTTATCTGTTATGAGTTTGTGTTTTCAATAATTATAAATGTTATTTAATTAAAATAGGGATTTAGGTTAATAAAGGGACATCTATCCAAAAGCTGCCATCCGTAGAGCCTCATCTGTTGTCTTTACTGCTGTGGTCTGCTTTATTTTTTAATTAACTTAGCAAACATTTTATTTTGCGTATCATTAAATTTGAGTTATCTTTTTGTTAAACAGTGGGTTAATGGCCTGGAGGTGTTAATAATTGTAGAACATGGCCCAAACTCTTATTTTATGTGATCATGGGAGCATAGTTTGCTGCTCCTAATGAAAATAGAATATAGAAATCTCGTATACTAAAACTTAAATTTTAATAACTTGTTGGTTTAAAGTTACACCTTCTCTTTTGTAACCAGTTCTGCTACGAACAACAAAAAAACAAAGACAGGGTTATGCATGGATTACATTTTTCTCTGCCCTGCCTACAACTGTTTCTGTATGTTGTCTGTGTCTGGTGCTATTATATCATAAAGAGATATTTGTATGTCAGTCCATTCACCAGCTTTGAACTGGGAGACAAATTATTGTCCTAATTTAGGCCTTTCAGGTATATCTAAGAATTTTGCTTTTTAAAGTATACTTTTTCTGAATTAGAGTAGAATAATATATTTCATAAATTAAAGTGAATTATGAGGGCTTCGTTGTCTGTGTATATCCAAAAGCCTCTGTTAGTAGAGGCGCCTATATTTTCTATATCTAAATAATAGTTTTATACAACTTACATTCTGGAATCTATGAGGAACTTTCTAATGTTAAATTTATATTTATAATCTAATCTAGTTTTCTTGCAAGAGAAGCATTTAATAATTTAGTTTTAGTCTATGCTTTAACGTACAAAGGAATCATTTCACTGTCTTGGGGAATGATATTGCTTTGTTGATATGATTGCTTTTCAGATACTTGATTTATCAAACACTAAAATGTTGAAGGATATCAGACTCAGGCTTTCAGCAGCTTGGAAATCTGGATTGTTTGTTATCTAGAAGCTAGTAACTTACTATCAAATGCTTTTGAAATATATAATAATCTTAAAGGACTGTCTGAAAATCATTTAAAAGATTTGTCAGCTTGGAGTTATCTCCTCCTGAAAAATTCAAGAGTTAAAAACATAAGTTGGAAGAGGTCTTGTAGAGTTACCAGTGTTAAACATCTGGTCTTAAGTCACAGTGCTTTAAAAAATTTAAGTGCAGTAACATAGTTGTTAAAGAATTTAATTTGCCTTTACATGGATAGAAAAATACTCAGCATTGATAATAATACCTTTGAAAACATGGGAAAATCTTTGAAGATCCTTAATCTGTCATTTAATAATCTTACAGACTTACATCCAAGGGTCCTTAAGCCATTGTCTTCATTGACTCATCTTCAGGCAAATTCTAATTCTTGGAAATGTAACTGCAAAGTATTGGGCCTTCTCGACTTGCTAACATCTTCAGCCATTACATTAAACTTCTGTTGTCAGAACCCCACCCCATTCAATGAGCGGCTGAGCATTGCATTTTATTAAGTGGACTGAGTTTACAAATTGTGATACATCTTCAACAAATGTACCCAGAGCTTGGGCTGTAAAATCTCTTCACATTCTTCACAAAGACCACTGCGTTTATGATGGCCTGGCATAAAGTAACCACAAGTGGGAAACATGTGGAAAACATTGAGAGTGTCACTTTCTGGGAAGGAGTTCGCACTTCACCTGCCAGTACGTTTTCTCAAGAGAATACCATTGCTAAGCCATTAGAAACTACAGCAGTATTACCTGTGCAAATACAGCTTACTTCTGTTAACTGGAACTTGGAAAAAAACAGTGCTTTACCGATCGATGCGGCGCCAGTGTCAGGGAAAACTGTTTGTACGCAAGAAGTTGAAAAGTTGAATGAGGCTTTTGACATTTTGTTGGCTTTTTTCATCTTAGCTTGTGTTTTAATTATTTTTTTGATCTACAAAGTTGTTCAATTTAAACAAAAGCTAAAGGCTCCAGAAAACTCAGGGGAAAATAGGCTTGAATACTACAGCTTTTATCAGTCAGCAAGGTATAATGTGATGGCCTCAGTTTGTAACACTTGCCCAAGTTCTCTAGAAAGCCCTGCTTTGGAACAGATTCGGCTTCATAAACAAATTGTTCCTGAACGTGAGGCACAGGTCATACTCTTTGAACATTCTTCTTTATAATTCAACTAAATTTTGGCTATAAGAAAACTTCAATAACATGGACATAACAAAATTAAAATCTCCTTAGAGAACTAGAAAATTTATTTGAAAATACGATGAATGGTATGAGCTTAGTACTAATAAAATGTTTAAAGATAATTTGTGAATAGTGTATTCATTCAGAAAATACTTTCTTTGATAAGTATTGTATTAGGTAATAATAAAAGCTGAACTTTCTGTGTCTGAAGTACTCTACTAAATACTTCACTTATCACATTTAATACTTTAAAACGCTTAGTAGGGTAATACTAGCTATGCTTTATAGGCAACAGAACCTAGACAGAATAGTTTAAGTAACTGTTCAATATTTTCACAACGTGTGACGCTTTTTAAGTCAGCCTTATTTCAGAGTGCCTGCGTCGAATTTCTTGCTGTCCTGTTGCTTAGGATTGTAATTGTGGGCATATAGACATGGCTCTTCATCTCAGCAAAATTTGAAATCTAGAGGGAGATATGTGGTTATTGTAGAGTATGATAAGGACCATACTTGGAGGTGCTGTCAGGTAGAATGTGTGGAAGCGGGAGAGACTGAATCATAGAGGGAAAAACAGAAACTAGCGCAGCCCAGAGAGCAAAGAAGTAGGTTAGAAATAAAATATGAGAAGATTGAAGAAAGAAAGAAAATTGAGTTTCAGAAAACTGAAGTTCAGTATAACTGAAGTTTGGATGGTGAGTGATATTTGCAGATAAAAGGAAATACCAGATGATCCAAGGTATTCATATTTTATGTATTTCCCAAGGGCATCAGGGAGTCAGTGAAGGATATTAAGGGCTTTTTTGATATTACATTTGTCCTTTACAAACTACACTCTTTTTCGGAAGGAGCAGTAAGTCTGGAGACAGGATTAGTTGGGTGTGTTTCTGAATCCTTAATTCAGGGGAGAGGTCTGAGTATCCTGGGTAGTAGCAGAGAAGGTAAGTGAACAGTTATACTTTGGAAGTAAGTTATTTTGTAAGAAAGTAAGTTACTTTCCAAATGAGTTACTTTAGAAGTAAGGGGGACGACCCTGGTGCTCAGCAGAAGGGGAGCGGGTGAGGGAGAATTCACAGATGTTAGGTTATGGCATGGGCACCTTTCTTCATGGGGGTGGGGAGTGGGCGTGGCTTTGAGGCCACACCTTCTGGTTCTCAGGGGCCATTCCTGGCTCCTTCGGAGTGACCCCTGGTAGTACTTGTGGACCTTGTGTGGTGCCAGGGATTAAAACTAGGGCAGCATGCAAGGCAAACATATTAACTCCTTAACAATGATGACATTTAGAATGGAATAAGAAGAAACGTTTTCTTTATGTGGTTTTCAAGCAAAAGCTTGTACTATAGGCAATACTACATTAAAAAGGAGATGATTAATGGGTGACACAGACTGTTTGGAAAAGACATTTGGCTGAAGAAATAAACAATGCCTGTTAGGGATTCTTTTTTTTAAGAGACTTGATAACTCAGGCATTGGGAATATGTGCTCACCATTGTAAGTGTTGTGTGTGCCCAGGCCAGCTCTGAGGAGTTAATGCCATGAGATCTAAGGTTCTTAGGAGGCTGTCTACAATGAGAAAACATGCCAGCAGTGCCTCAGGTGTTCAGGTTGCTTATTGAGGACCAGAAAAATCATTGTGAAAGGGTTGAAGGCGTAATAAGCACATCAGAGTCAGAAAGTGAAATTAAAAAAAAAGAAAAAAAGGTGGGGCAGGGAGATAGCGCCTGAGTGCATGCCCATGTATGCCCACCCAGGCACCACCTAGTCCCCCACCACCTCTGTGCACACCCTTCTCCAGCTTGACAGGAAGGGGGAGGGGCAGGGATGAGGAAAAGACGAGAGAAAAGAGCTTTTCTGTCGTGTTAATGATAATTTTTTTTTCTTTTTGGGTCACACACGGTGATTCTCAGGGGTTACTCCTGGCTTATGCACTCAGGAATTACTCCTGGCGGTGCTCGGGGGCCATATGGGATGCTGGGAATCGAACCCGGGTTGGCCGCGTGCAAGGCAAACGCCCTACCCGCTGTGCTGTCGCTCCAGCCCCAATGATAATATTTTTTAATTATCATTAATTAATTAAAGGGAGATGGCTCAAGTGCACCTGGAATGCATACTCTGCATGCAGCAGCCCTCGGTCTGATCCCTGTTACTGCATGGTCCTGCCGGGCACTGAGCCAAGAGTAGACCCTGAGCTGTGAGCCCAACGTCCCCGCCCCTGTTCCCAGCCCCACTCACCGCCTTCAGAGAATCTGTTTTGAAGGGACCTTTTACAAATACAAAAGGAGAAAAACAGTGACTTCTTAATACTGTGTCAGTTTTCCATGAAAACGGATCCTTTTAATGATCAGTATCCGTGTTATATTGTCATTCCTATGGGAGTGTACTTTCCCTAAACTGAAGACTTAATGAGAAGTAGTTGAGGTGCATCATTTAAGGGGTTTGAAGTTCAGTGCTCTTAAGATAATATTAGGTATTGGGGGGCTGGAATAATTGTGCAGCAGAGTGTTTGCCTTGCATGCAGCCAACCTGAGTTCAATTTCAGGACACCTTGTAGTGTTCCCTGGAGCCACCAGGAATGTGAGCCCTTAGCACAGAGTCATGAGTAAGCCCTGAGCTCTGCTGGATGTAGCAGGAAGAAAAAAAAAGATAATTCCTGGGACTTTTATTGATCCCTCCCATCCTGCTCTTTCTCTTCACTTCTCCCTTTCCACTCTTTTGTTCTAAATTGCTCTCCTCCTTTTCGGTTTGGGCCATAGTCAGTTTCCGCCTCTGTGTTCTTGAAGTCTGTTCCTTACGTTCTGGAGCACTGAATAGGTGAGCAGACTTTTCCCAGGCTATGAATTAGCCATCAGACCCCCAACTTGATCTCTGCCACTTGCATTTGTGCGTCCAGTGCCATATTCCAACATTCCATTAAAGAAAAAAAAATACTGACTGAGGTTGACTCACTTCCCGGATGGAGCAGAAATAAAGCTGAAGGTAGGGGAGGGTATGGAGGGGAGCAGTGAGCCTCCTGATCACATGGCAGCATTTTCCTGTGCTGGTCACCTGACTGATTTATAAGCTGAGTAAGCTTGGGCCAGAACAATAGTGTTTCTTCCTGAATAGCATGGCACAGACTGAGTAGAGGTCAGACCTACATCCCCTGTTTTTTTTTCTTCCTTTGCTTTTCTGAATATCATTAGCTGTTCTTTACTCTTCCTTTCTTTCTTTGCAGAATAGTTTTTACTGAAAGAAATTTAGAGAAACGTGAGGGGACAGAAAGAGAACATGGGCTTCTCCAGAGGGGGAAAACCTGCTCTTAATTTTCTTGACTTAGTTTGGTCAGTTTAGTGATTCTGTCTGTGAACTTCCTTTAAATCACAGTCAGGCTCCTGATCTCATCCGATTTCTCTCATAAATCTGTCAAACTTTATTTTGATTCCAGCAAGATCATTGAAACAGTCTTATTCTTTATGCAAAAGTGGTCCTTTTGGGCTGGGGTGATAGCACAGCGTATAGGGCGTTTGCCTTACACGCGGTCGACCCGGGTTCGATTCCCAGCATCCCATATGGTCCCACCGAGCACCACCAGGAGTAATCCCTGAGTGCAGAGGCAGGAGTAACCCCTAAGCATTGCCGGGTGTGACCCAAAAAGCAAAAAAAAAAAAATGGTCCTTTTGGTGGGAGTTTTTTATGCTATCTGTTCTATAGCTTGGTTATCAAAAATCTCTTCTCAGCTTCGAAAGTCTAGCTCATGAACATGCATGTCTGTGTTGGGACCCAGTGCTCAAATATCTTTATCATTTAGTCATTCCGCATATTTCTAATTCATTTTTTTTGAATATTGCAGAGATGAACTTCGCATCACAGCACTGACAAATCTATATGATAATTTGAAAGGAAACCTAGAATTAAATGCATGCCTTCTTCACTTCCTTGTAATTAAACATTCGCCCACATAGTCAGAACATAGTCATAGTCAGGTTGCCAGATATGTGTTAGGAAAATCCATGATCAGCTTTTTGAGAATACACACAAATTAGAAGTTCCGTTGATTTCTCATGATGTTTCTGTTTTTCCTAGAATGTGTGGGGTTGATGCCTCAAGTAGAGAGAGCAGCTGGGTGTGCATTTTATCCCTAGAGAATACTGACCCAGAGACCCAGGACAGAGCACTAGTTCACAGAGCTTTTTTCTTACACTATTGGCAATCAGTGGCTGCTGTTTTAAAAAAAGAATTACAAGCCTGCTGCCTTAGCATGCTATGATTAATTTGGGTTGCATTTCTTGCTCTGCAGTGGGAAGGGAAAATGACTGTTACCAGATACCAGCCCACCAGTTCAGCCTGTGTTTTATATACAAGGAGAAATGAGCTAGCTTCAGTCGGATCACAGTTAGTGGGTAAACTTAGTGCAGTGTCTTAGCTTTCAGGGCAAGCACATGTGCAACTCTGGGTTTGATCCCCAGAACCAACTGTCTCCTACCCCCTGGTCTTTGGGGAGAGTATATAGTCACCCTCGCAATAGTAAAGGTAAAGGTAAAGGCCCTCCCGTTGATCGTCGATTTGCTCGAGCGGGCCCAGTAACGTCTCCACTGGAGACTTTGTTGTTACTGTGTCTGGCATATCCAATACTCTCGGTAGCTTGCCGGGCTCTCCGAGAGGGGCGGAGGAATCGAACTCGGGTCGGCCATGTTGGCCGCTTGTAAGGCGAACGCCCTACCCGCTGTGCTATCGCTCCAGCCCCTCGCAATAGTAGCAGGGAGAAAATAAATATTTATTCAGTTATTTATTGTTCTTCTAGTTATTTTTTCTTAGGATATTTCTCAGTGAGTTAAATAAGACAGATTGTGGTTCTTCCCTTAGAAATTTTTAAGTTTTTATGTAAAGAAAGCATCTATCCATCTATACCCTGCAATAGAATATTATAGACAGTGACATCTCCTTGTTATTATTTTTCCTATATGGTGACACAGTTCTCCAAAAGAGGATTGCATTAGAACGTACTGACAGAAGATTTTAACTTTATGAATGATGGGGTGGGGGGTGAACCTTGGGAACACTTGTTGAACATTGTATCAGTGCAGTATGGGAAACACAGTATATCCCCTTTTAAGTTCTCTACAGCAAGAGTTAAGATTTATTTGTTAGTTTCAGATTTAATAGGATAGTTTAGTGCACCAGTGGTGTGCTGTATGTCTGTTTTTGGTATCAGGTTTATATTTGATAACATAGCAAAACTTAGCAAAACTCTTTTAAGCCTGTAGTTTTGACAGTATATAACTATGGCCTAGCTCAAAGTATAAAACATTCTTAGTGCCTCAAAGTTTCCTTTGCCTGGCAACCACCAAGTATTTTTCTTCTTCAGAAAATAATGCTATTTGGTAGCCTTTGAATCTCATTTCTCTTAGCATAATTGCTTTCTTTTTTTTTAAACATTTATCCAGATTTTTACATGTATGTCTGTACTTTGTTGGAATTTATTGCTGGCCTCCATTCCAGTAACTTGTGTCCTACTTCTTTTAATCCATTCATTTACTGGTGTACATATGGGTCATTTGTAATTTTCTATTATTATGGATAAAGCCATAAATGCTCACATATAGACTTAAATACATGTTTTAATTTTGGTTAAATAAGCAATTTATTTAATTAAATAAACAATTATTTGGTTAAATAAACAATTGGAATTGTTTCATTATAGAGTTTTTTAGGCTAAGAAATTGCCATGTGTTCTCAAAAATAAAGTGCCATTTTTTAAATTTTTTTTTTAATCCTTGCTAGGAGAGGTTCATTAATTTTTCATTTTTGCCAGTACTTGACATTGTTCACCCTAGTTATTTTATTTTATTTTTTCTTTTTTGGGTCACACCCTTTTTTGGGTCAACTCCTCAGGAGTTGCTCCTGGTTCATGCACTCAGGAATTCCTTCTGGTAGTACTCAGGGGACCATATGGGATGCTGGGAATCGAACCTGGGTCAGCCGCGTGCAAGGCAAACACCCTACTCACTGTGCTATTGCTCCAGCCCCAGTAATTTTATATTTTATTAAAATCCTACTGTGTTGTTTGTAGAGGTAGTACAGCAGGTACTTGCTTTACATGCTGCTGACGCAGGTTCAATCCCCAGTACGTCATATGGTCCCCCAAGCCCTGCCTACAGTGATCCTTGAATGTAGACACATACATGAAAAAGAAAGGGGGGGGAAGGTGTGGGGCAGAGAAAGTACAGCAGATAGGATGCTTGCCTTGTACGATCTGGAAACCTGGGTTTGATCCCCAGCACCCTGTGTGGTCCCCTGTGTTCAAACAGGAGTGATCCCTGAGCACAGGGATAAGAGAAAGCCCCAAGCATCACCAGGTGAGGCCCACAAAAAGAAATCCTACTGTGGTTTTAATTTTTCTAATGATTTTAGACATCTTTTTAGATACGCATATGCTTCCCTCCGTCCCCTTCAGATGCAAGTTATCTGTGTGCAAGGCAAGAGCCCTCACACTGTACTGTCTCTCCAGCCCTCAGATTTTGTTATATATTCAGTGTCCATGTCCTTTTCAGATATGTTTTATATATATTTTCTCCCAATGAATGTTTTTTTCATTTTCTTTACAATGTTTTTAGAAGAAGATTGATTTTTTTTAATCTCCCAGTACTTTTGTCTATTTTTTGAGATATGAAATTTACACACAGAACTATTAAGGTAGAGAAGATTAAAGTATCTCTTTTCTATTTGGTCTGTTCTTCTGATACTTAAACATACTAGCAATCTCGTGAAGCATATTGTTATATGCAACATACAATCCTGCTTTAACAAAATATGAAAGTTTTTTTTGTATTTCAAAACTAAAATTTTTCTTCATGTTCAAGAGGATAATTGATTGTGTGAGTGAGTGTGTGTGTGTGTGTGTGTGTGTGTGTGTGTGGCGGGGAGTGAGGGGCCATGAGAAATATCTGCCAAGAGTCCCAGTTTAATGTTTTTTTGCTCTTTCATTCCAGTGTTATCCAAGATAAATTCTGTGGGATTATAAACATCTCGGTGGAGGGTCTGCACGATGTCATGACAGAAGATCCTGAAACAAGAACTTATAAAGAGTAGGTGAATCATTGAAATTAATTGCACTTGGACTTGAGAGGGGTAATTGAATACATCCTACATGATTCTTGATCACTGTCACCATAGAAGTACTATGTGGAAATTCTAAAGTTTTGTCTTTTTTGAAAGAATTGTCATTTGGCTCATGTTTAGTGTTTTATTTTTAAATTAGTTTTGTTATAGTCAAATTTTGAATTGGACTACTTTGGTCTAATCATTTTATGAGCAATTTGACATTATATTTTTAAAACCATTTGAAATGTACTTAGCATATTAATTGCGATTTTTTAAAAAAATTTTATTAGTTGAAACACCATGAGGTACAGTTGTAGACCATGAGGTACAGTTGTAAATTTTTGTGCTTGGATTTCAATTACACAATGATCAAATACCCATCCCTATACCAGTGCCCATTTTCCACCACCACGGATCCCAGTATCCCTCCCACCCTCCATTCCCCCATCCCACCTTGCCTCTATGTTTAAAATCATGCAGATTGTTTTTTCAACTAACAAAGACAGTTATGGAGTTAAATGGAGAAGGGTTGTTGTATTTTCCTGAGTAATTCATCACGGGCACCTTTTATTTTTGTTTTGGAACCATATTTGGCAGTGCTAAGAAATGAAACCATATGTTCCAGCTCTTTGAGCCATCTCCCTGGCTTTACCAGCACTTTTTCAGATATTACATCTACATTATAGATATCACGTGGTATTTAATTTCAAAACAGAATGAAATCAGGTTATTCGAAATGCTGATATTGACATACTGAGCTGGGGAAGGGGATATCTATAGCGCATTGAAAACATTAAATGAATAAAAAATAAATGAATAAATAAAATAATAATAAAATAAAATAATAAATTGAAAATAAATAATGAATAAAAGCAATGCTTTTACCTTAAGATGTAGTGTTAAGATACAGTGAATAGAACAGAACTAAAGGGATGAGGAGGGAAATTGTTAGAAATCAAGTTTAAAAATTATCAAACAGTCATAATTTTAAAGAGTATAAAGTGCACTAGAACCAGTGAATTAGACTCAATATGGGGCACTTAGTAGTGATGAAGAAAAAGTTTTTGTTTGGAAGGCAAAATTTTGGACCTAAAAGAAGCTAATAGAGGAGACGAGATCATGATAGGGACATAGACTAGAAAGAACTGACTCTGGCATTAGAATGCATGCACAGGCAGCTGGAACAGAGGACTGGTGAGTTCGTCTCCACACTTGTTCATACATTGCTTGGCATATGAAGACATAGTGGAGAAACCAGTACCTAACTTTCTCAGCATCAATTTTAAAGAGACGTCTAATGAATTCTCTGCTAAGTCTTCCCATTCTGTAATGCTGTGAATTTCATAGAGTCCCCGTAAATTATAGTCCATGATACTTCAGGGTATAAAATGGATTTTCAGAAACATACCCATAAGAAATATAAGGTAGGTATATATACATAACTAATTTAATTTCAATATCCTTTTCCTAAGTACGCAAAGAAAGTTAGTGTTTTTGGTTCTGTTTGATTCTCATAGTCTCTATATAGATTTAATTAGAACAAAGAGAGACAATTCTCTCTCTCTCTCTCTCTCTCTCTCTCTCTCTCTCTCTCTCTTCCACCTGCACAGGTAGTCTATTAGAGTTCTCTAGAGAAAGAAAATTATTAAGGACTATCACAAATCATCCTGTTAATCGTCGATTGCCTCGAGCAGGCCCCAGTAACGTCTCCTTCATCGTAGCCCTGAGATTATATTCAAGGCTCTTTAGGAAAATGAGACCCATCATTGTTACTGGTATTTGGCATATTGGGTACAACACAGGGAATTTGCCAGACTCTATAGTCCTTATACTTTAAGCACTACATACTTATGATAAAGAATTAACTTATGTGATTATAGAGCTTAAAGTTCCATTATCTGTAGATGGCAAGAGCCAGTGGTTTTTATTTTGTTACAAATCTGAGTCAGACAAAACCAATATTTCCTTGGAAACAGTCTTCCAGAGAGAGTAAATTCCCTCCTACCCCATCTCTTTTCAAAATTCAAATCTTTGAGGCCTCAGGGCAAAACAAAAGTGCTTTATTTCCTATTGGTATCATATGTTGATCTCATGCAGAATTTCTCTTAGAAGATCACCCATAATAGTATGTATCTCTGGGCACCCTGTCATCTAATCAGGTCGACATATGAAACTGACCACAATTTGAGAGTCTTGGTGACAGATGATTTTTTTCATTTAGTCGTGTTTATTCTAGGCATTGTGCTATGTGAGGAATCAGCTGAAAGAGCTCAGAGCCAAAAGGGGAAATGGGATCAGTGCCACCCAGCTACAGGCAAGGAAATGTTCTGGGGAACAGAGACAGCTTCTGGGAGTATGTAGTAAATAGGAGCCAAATAGACAAGTAACTCAATGTAAAATGCCAGGAATTTTGGACTGTTACGTGATCAGTGGAAACCCCTTGGCGGTTTTTTAGCGTAGGCCTGAACTGTGTGTGGAAGATGATTGGGAGGAGTAGAAAGGCTCCTAGCTAGTGACAGTGCACTGACCGGGAGTGTTCGCTTTAAAAAGTGGCTTTCTCATGCCCAGTCCCACTCGTTCCATCAGAATGTGTAGGAATCGGGCCGTGGAACCAGCGCAGTAAACACGCACCTGAGGTGATTCATGTTCACTCTGAGTATTGAATCCGGCCCCACAGGGTGTGCAGGGTCCATGTGCAGCTTGTGCCATTGTGCCACCAGGATGACTGACGACGTGATGGGAGACTGGGGGGGAAGGACTGGCAGGGATTGATGGGGGTGGGGGGTGGCTACGAAAGGTTTTTAGGAAAAAATCATTCTTATTCTAACAGTTAGTCTGGAACTTTAGTATGCCTTTATTACCTTATTCTCGCAGGCATTTTGAAATTTAGTAACAGTTTGTATAGTAAATGGAAAGTAAATATTTATTTGCTTTGACAATGGATGATCTGATTCTCTATTGGAAAAACTTGTCTTCTAAGATTAGTAGATAGTCAGCATTTGGGTATTGCTCATCTTAGTACTAGATTCCTTGCTTTCCTTTTTAATTTTTTTAAATGAAGCAAGATAGTTTTTATTGAATGGAATTTACTTAGTAGTTTTGGAGGCAATAAAATATGTGAGAGAAGGACTCATAAATTGTGTTGTTGTTGTTGTTTTCATTGCTAGAGTATAAAACAAATTGGCTATAAATGAAGTAGTCTTATTTCAAGTAAATAAAATTCAATTTTTATTTGCCATGCATTTCTTTTCTTCTTCCTTTGTTACATGACTCTTCAGATTGAAATAATAAATTGCAAAACAAGCAAAATTAATTTCCCCACACTTTCTACATAGAGAATACATACTGAGGTGCAAATTAATGTAATCTGTAGAATTGCAAAACATATATACATATACACATATATATTGCAATAATTTTGTGCAGTATATTGCAGTAATTAAAATTAAGATATGGATGTTGATATATATTTTAAAAACAAATGTTTATTCTAGGTAAATCTTGGTCACTGGGAAAATATATGTGAATATTTGTTTCTAGAATTGACTTTAGTATAACATCTCTTGTTAGCTTAGGGAAAACAGACGAGAGGGTGTTTTTGAATTTTGTTTGTTTTTTTTATACAAATAAGTTGACAGATTTTGTGATGCAGTAAAAGAATTTGATACAAAGTCAAGATTCAGAGATCCAGATTTATTACTTAGAGTTCAAACCTGTAGCAGTCATTAAATAGCTAGTGTGAAGAAACTCATTTCTAAAATACAAACTCGGGGGCCAGAGTGACGTTACTGCTAATAGGGCCTTTGCCTTCCATGCCGCTCACCCAGATTTGATCTTGGCATCCCCAGGAGTGACCCCTGAATGCAGAAGTAAGGAGTAAGCCGTGAGTACTGCCTGGTGTATAGTCCCAAGCAAACAGAATAAATTAACAAAACACGAACTGAGATCTAGACTTTGCTAGACATTTGCCATTATCAGATGGCTCTTGGGATGAAGGAACAATATGATTTTCTTATTTTGTGTCAAGTCCATTAAACATAATATACGTACTCCACCCTCTTTTAGGGTGGATAGAAGCACTGAAGTTGCAAGAGACCAAGGCCGAGCAGTGAGGGATTGGACTATTGGTTTTTTGTTTTGTTTTTGTTTTTTATTAGTGAAACACCATGAGGTACAGTTATAGACTTACAAATTTTTGTGCTTGGGTTTCAGTTATACAGTGATCAAGTACCCATCCTCCACCACCACGGGTCCCAGCATCCCACCCTGCCTCTGTGGCAGGGCAGTCCCTTTTGTTCTCTCTCTCTCCTTTTGGGTCCTGTGGTTTGCAGGAGAGGCACTGAGCGGCAATCATGTTTGGTCTATAGTCTACTTTCAGCATGCTTCTCCCACCCTGGGAGGATCCTCCCAACACCCTTTATTTGGTGCTCCCTTCTCTATCTGAGCTGCCTTTTCCCCTAGCAATGTGTCTGGCCTCCAAGTCATGGAGCAAAATTCCTGGTACTAATCTTGGCCACTCCTGGGTGTTAGCCTCCTATTTTGTTACTTTATGTTCCCCAGATGAATGCAGTCTTTCTGTGTCTATCCCGTTCTTTCTGACTCATTTCGCCTAACATGATACTTTCCATGTAGGACTGGACTATTGTTTTAAGAGCTTCCAATGTCTTCCTTTGTGACCCCATCACTTTGTGCTGACGGACTTAGAAGCACCGGTTCCAGAATAAATTAGTTCTGAAATGGTGATGGATGCTCATGTATGTCTCCTGTAAGAATGAGCTTGAGCAACTTTCAAACACTGACCCCTGTCCTACCTCTAAATTCAGAATTACACTTAAAACCAAGACCGGGACTGTCCTTCATTTGTACTTGCCCTAAAGTGTGAGAAACCATGCTTCCGTTGTCATAGTAGTTTTTATTAGGAAAGTCTGACTCTAAAGAAAGGACTAAATTCTACTATTCTGAATTAGGAAATTCTGAATTAGGT